TGCTTCTGCTTTTTGAGCCCGTAAGGCATCACTTTGAGCTTTTCTCTGCAACCAAGAGGGCTAGAAACATCTCTGTGTCAATAAAAGCCAAGAGTCTCCTGTAATCACCTGCCTCCAGGAGTTGAGGCTTTAAGCAAAACATCAAATATTGCAAGGCCAGCAGTAAAATCACTAGAGCTGGCAAGACTGCTGAGATGGGTACAAAGAGGTGAAGAGACTTAGCCGAGGCAGCACAGGGAGGCGATGGCCTGCCCAGCTTCCATGCCTGAACTGGTATCATCCTCCCTCCCTTTACAGTATAGACAGAATTCCTTTAGTCCTACCCTACCATCAAGGCTGTAAGAAAGCTTCTCCTAGCTGCTTTCCCAGCCTCCCCAGGCTGTTTAGGCTAATGAGTCACGAGCTATCACCAGTGGCATAAGCCCCTGCTCCACTTGCAGATCCCTGCCATTGCTGGCTGGCCAGTAAGCACACCCGGATCCTTTCGTTAGCAGAGAACTAACCCTTAGCCCACTGCACCAGCTGTCTGAGCTGTGGCAAAAATACACTCCTGGAGAGAAATCCACAAAGCAGCCCCGCACAATGCTGTCCTTAGCTGGGGCTCCTAGGGCATGACACCTGCACCCAGTGACAGATGATCTGCGGGGCTCTGCTTTGCTCGGTTGCCATGAAGAGGCAAAGAGAAACAAAAAAATGTGCCTGTGCCTTTAAGAAACTACTCCAAATGTGGCAAGGTCAGCGATTATGAAGCCCCCAGTCCCTTGAGCACATTCCTGTCTGCACAGGGCCTATCTTTCCCCTCCGATAAGCCCAGCAGCCTATCAGCCACCTGCATCAGCTCTCCAATTCACTGGAATATTTTCAGTGCTGTGCATGAGATCCTGTCTCCTATGCTCCAGGGGGAGGCTGGGAGGTTTTTTAATGGTCCAGCCTGTCATTCCCAAGAGTGATGAATGTGACAGAGCCTTTCGCAGGATGCCAAGGAAATTCTAGTCCCCACGACATCGTTTTCTTTTTTTAAAACCAGTCTGGCCTTAGCAGAGATAGGAAACTATGGCAGGGCTACAGCGCACACTCGGGGCAAATGGATCATCAGGGTCAGATGGTTCTGAAGGGGCTGAAATGCAAGGTCAGGGGAACTCCCAAAAAGGTGTGTAAGGTCAGGAGCACAGTCTAATGGTTAGAGCCATGGACTGGTAATGAAAATGTCGGGTGCTATTCCCACCGCTGCAGCCACGTGACCTTGGGCAAGATACTTCCCTACTCTGTGCCTCAGTTTCCCCATCTCTATAAATGGAGGTGATGCAACTCACCCTTCTCCCAAGAACTGTACGAGGGTTCGTTCACATTTGTAAAGCGTTCAGAAAGCCATGGATGTGAGTCTCCAGAGAAGTGCAAAGTACACGGGCGGGTTGAGTTTCAGAGGCACTGAAAGTCCGTGAGAGTTGGGTGCTTGACTCCCATCTGTGCCTCTAAGAATCTCCCCCCAGCTCCCTACAAACAGTTTGTTTCAGAAGAATGGAAAGTCACCCACTTGGTGCCCAGCCCAAAACAAACGAACCCTGGGTGAATGGACTCAGGGAGCATCAGGCCAGAGAGCTCACTTCACTAAAAAGAAAACTGACACAGTGTATTTATGGAGAGAATCATGAACACGCACCCCCTCCTCAGCCCACTCATGCAAACACCTCTGGGATGGTTTAATTGGCCTTTCAAACAAGCTACGGGGCTTCAGAAAGAGTTAAACAGCAGCAAAGAAGGGCCCAGCAGCTCTAATTTACTGGCCTTCCCAAGCGTCTGACTGCATCCGGCACAAGAAACTACTACGGAAATAGCCTCGCAATCAGCACGTCCACAGGGGAGTGCTCTGCCCACATTTACTCACACCGCTCCCCAGCAAAGCCTTGGTAGGGATGAGACAGAAGAGAATTGCTGCCTCTCTGCCTACAGAGGTTACCCACAGGGGCCATATTGGCACCAGCCCTGCTTAATGAACCAGATTCATCCTCAGGGCCATGCCACTGACTGCCTCAGAACATGGGAGCTCTCGGACACAAGCTGTGAGGCGCTGAAATCTGAGCCAGAACTAAAGGAGGACTGGACTTTTAAATAACTAAACGACCCAGCTATGAATTAACGCCCACTAAAACAGACTAGACCTGGCAAATTCCTACGGACATTTGCACACGAACAGCTATTTAAGTTTGTGACAATGAAATGGGGTTTGTGAGAAACTACAGAGGAGCCAAAGCTTGGAGCAACACTACTATAGCATTCCATACTACAGATCCCTTGCGATGTCTGGGGATCAGGACCCCCAAATACGACAGTACCGCTCTTGCGGGGAGTGGGCCAGTACGATGGCAGAGGAGGGGCGCTGTTTCTAAATGCCGGGTATGACCACGTTGCAATCAGGGGTGTGGCTGCAGCTCGTGTGCACATACCCAAGTAGCTTTAATCCAGCTAGCTCATGTCCCAAGAGCAGCGATGCTGGGCGGCACAGGCCTGCCAGGGAGCCAGAGTACGTACTCTGGCAGCGAGCCTGCGCTGAAATCTGTGCTGCTGTGGTTTCCCTGCTATTGGCACTCCCTCCAGCCAGATTAACGCTGCTCAAGTACGTCTACGCATGCTGCTGCAATCACCGCTTTGACTGCAGCACAGAGAAAAGCAAGGAAGCGCTCTGAGAAATTGCATCTGCAGACAGCTGGCTGGTGCTAGAGCTAAAGCGAGGAGCTCAGCCTGGTACACAGCAGGGAGTGGAAGGAGTGTAACATGGTGGATTCCCCAATTGGCCCAAGCCTGCAGGACCCTGGGGGTTAACAAGTGCTGACTCATTGGGCCACCAGTAGCCACCTAGAGGAGGGCGTTAGGGTTAGAGGCAGAGATGTGCTAAGGGAAGAAACCCTGGGGCCACCCCACTCTGGGGAGAAAGGTTAGGCAGGGGTTGACGTGGGATTATTTTTGCCATTACCTTGTTACTAACCCAGACCATAAGAGGGGTGATGCTTTTCTGGCTCTCCACTGAACGTGCAGCTTTTGCATATAGGGACGGAAAACAAAAGACAAGCTGCAAAGGCAGGGTCCCCCTGCCTCACGACACTCTTGACAGTTTCGGTTGCCTCACCTCCAACAGACTGAAAACATCCAGAGAAAAGCAATGGCAGTTGTGACTGATGGGATCTATCCAATGACTCGAGGGAGCAGTGAAGAGTTATAGGCACCACAGGGCACTGGGGGGCAGGACAGCAGGGCCCCCTAGGGGTCAATTGCCAGGCAATATTACTACACTGCTGTGTCACGGGGCTTTCCCCCTTTTCCCCCACTCTGACTGGCTGGCCATTGTTGCTCCATGCTTATTGGCTAGTCATTTTTTTTCTTTTGGCTTGGCTGGTGTTGCCAAAAGCGTTTTCCAGGTAATAAACAGCGAGGGCTCCTCCTGCAACAGGGCTTGGAATATTACTGTGATGCGATAAAGGGAATACAATACTGCACCAAACTCTGGGTGGGGGAGACCCCTGTCTCCATGCAGAGCCACACGGATGTGGAGGTCTGGCCACATAGAGCTGATGGCATGAGCGAGGCCTAAGATCATTTAGGCGAGAAAGGGGAAGAGATTTCCCTGACACACAACGCAGGGAATAGCGATCATCAATCCATCTATCCATATTCTGACAGCATTCCATATTCCTAGGAAAATGAATGAAGCAGAACGGAAGGACCTGCAAAGGAGGCAGGGTGCTCTCTGGCCTAACTGAGCTCAAAATTAAGGGTTTGTTTAAAAAATAAATAAAGAAAGAAGCTCTGTTAAATATTTCCATGGAGCTCCTGGCCTGCACAGTGCTTTACACCATGAACTCCCGATACGGTCCCTGCCCTGAAGAGTGAGGTTCAGATCTGCTAGGCATTCAGTGCCCTCAACTCCCATCGGCTCACCACTCCTGGGGTCAGGCCCTACATTAAAAAACATAAGAACTGATGACAACAAAGGGAGGAAGGTTCCATGAAGAGAGAGTAATCGATATCTGTGTAACCCTTCTGCGAGGTGGAGCCAGCAGCAACAAGGGCCGGGTTCAGTATCTAGGGGTTCCTTTTCAACAACACAAAACCGGCTCGAGCCCCCACCCAGTGACCGGGACAATTACACACCACCCTCTGGCCGCCTCTAAGAGGCAATACTTCCCCTCTCGCAAGCACCAAGTCTGAATGTAGCAAAACCTTTTAATAAAAGGGAAGTAGCAGCATTAAATTGGAAAAATCTTGCAACTGGGGTTCATAAACATAAACCATGAGTAAAAAGACCCACCCTCAAATAAGTTGGGCACGGTCCTTTTCCCTTCAGGTTCTGAAGTCCAGCAACCCAAAAGTCCCTTTAACATGCCAGTCTCTTCTCTGCACCCCACTCACCGTTGCTGTCCTTGGCCAGTGCAGCCCGAGTTCAGAGGTTTATCCGCAGAGTTCACTTCCCACCCTGGGTGGAAGCAGCAGGTTAGGAGGCACCTTACACACTCCCCTGCTCGGGCACTTGCTTGTCGCCCCAACGGCCAATTGCTGCACCTCTCTATGGGGCTCTGCTCTGGCCCTCTCCTGCTGGCTGCGCCTCTCTGCCAGCCTCCCATTCACCAAGATGTCTTCAGGGCCTCCCACCTAACACAGCTCTCAGTGATTTCAGCTGTCAGTGGGGACAGTCTCTTGCAGTACAAACACTGTCCCAAGGCAGGTCTAATACTTAGACCTAGATATCAAGTGATTTCAGCTCTTCGGTGTGTGACAAGACTCTCAATGGAGTCTAAATTAGCTCTTATTATACGGTGGAGAGAGGAAGGGTCAAATGATGTCTAGGGCCCTTAAACAGGGCTCACACCACCAGGTACAAGTACCTGTCCCCACCCTCTCCCAACGCATTGGGCATTGGAACCCATGTCCCCTGCCTAGTGAGTGCCGTTCAGTTGAGGGCGAGTCCCTCCACTGGGGTATGCCAAGTACAGTTCTGCTACCCTCAGTTCACACAACAGGGATAACACCACTTTATTATTCCTGCCCCAATAACAAGACTGGGGATTCAACACCAGCCACAAGTGATCATTTGGGCAAGCAATCCCATCATGCTGAGCACCTAGGCAGAGTGGGTGTAACCATGCAAAGGAGATCAGCTCCTGAAGTAGTTTTCCACAGCTCGCCACTAGATGTGAGGGGAGAGCTCATTCAGACTCTGCTTACACTTGTAAATTCTGGATTCCAGACATTTGAATGGAGAACACAGTAGGGAAAGAGAGGTGACACCACCAATAGAAATGTTCAGTTAAATTAAGAACAGAATCAGTGATTTTAAAACAAACCTAGCATTTTCCTTTTCAGTGTCTGCAACCCAACCATTGGGTATGAGGACCTGAAAGTGAAACTGACTAGAGAGGGAAGGCCAGCTGGTCAGCGGCAGTAAATCACCTGACTTCAACTCTTGCTGATTTACAATAGTGGAGGCTCAGACAGGAAAACCAAAGTGACCAGTCTGGGATACATTCACCATCCAAGTCAAGAAAAATGCCAAATATACCTGCAGCAGAATCAGTGGTGAAAAGCACATTCCAATGTCAGATGTATCGCTCCGAGGTATCAACTGCCATTTAGGCACAGGGGCTTTGTTTAAAACTATGACACTCCTTAAAGCATACAAAGGGAAATGCTTCTTTCTGCAGTACATAGGCTGCCAACAGAACTCCCTGCCACATGACTCTAAGGGGCTGATTATTTTATGACCACTAACCCTGGTAACTATGCAAGTTGGAAAGCAGCCTCCTACACCAGGGCATAGGCTGATCACCTGTGGAGGATTGGGAAAATCTCCCCTACCAGCATTGCAGGTGGCAAGGGAGGAGATTCACATTTCTCTCTGCAGCAGGATGCTTGACTAAAGATTGGATACAGGATTTTTCTATTCTTAACGGGGGGAAACGTGGCTGTAAGGGAGCTCCTGTACCACCTGGAAGCGGAACACGCGGGGGAAGATGGGAAAGCTCGGGAATTCCCAAAATGCTACAGGGCAAACCCAATCCAAGGAGCAGAGTCCAGAGGATGGCAATAAAAGATACAGCCCCACACATTTCCCATCAGACCCTCAACTTAACTGTCCTCCCTTCCTCCTTGACATGCTCTGTCCAGGTTCTTTTGTGGCCCCCACCACGGTAACGTCAGAACACTTCCCTCCCCTCAGATGTCATTTCCTTTAACTCACTTCTCCTCCTTCAAGTCGAACAAGCTTTTCTGTAATGCCAGAGAACTGCGGGAGCCAGCTCCAGCTCCTGCTAAGCTCTACAGCAGCCTGAGGGGCTGTGCCTAGAGGGCCACACAGCTGACTCCAAGATGACTGTCACGATGCATCGCACTCCACGCTGACAGCAAGGTTCCCTGTTACAGCAGGGGAACCTCAGGGCCCTGCTCTGCTGGCAAATGGACCCCTTTGCTCTAAGATCCCAGTAGCAGGTTGTTATAGGGAGGAAGGAGCCTACAGAACATCACTGCAAACCTCTCTCCAGTACAGCCCTTCATCTGAAAACCATCTCCTGCTTGGGGAAAGACAAGAACGTTCCTCCCCTCCCCCAGCACACACAAGGTCACACTTCGAGGACACACAGCCGCTTGGATTTATCGTCTTCCCCTATCAATTATTCCCATTTCACGGACTCGTGGCAGGTCTAAGGACTCGTCAGACATCTGCAGGCTGAGTGGAAGGTGACAGGAGGAGGAGAACAGTTTTCAGCAGATAAAGCAGCTCTGAGCTGTGGAGTCAGGGTTGGCAGGCTAGGGTCAAACTCCCATCGAGCAAGCTGGATATGCATCTGCATGGGGTGTGGGTGGGGCAGCGAGCTGGCCTTCAGGAATGGAAGAGCATGCTGCAAAAAACAGCACAGGCAACCCTAAATTAACAACAGCCTCTTACATGGGGCCATGTGTTACCGGGGAATTGGCCTCTCAGCTCCCTCCCGCAAGTCAGAGCTCCAGAAAAGTCTCCTTGTGCTGCCCTGGGCTTCCCATGACCAATCTGACAGCACAGGACTTCCCTCACGCCAGATCAGCACTCTGATTTCCCCCTCCCCACAGCTCCGAGATGTGCATTAGCACCTGGCAAAGCATCCCAATTCCACACACTCCTAAGCATTTCTCCTTAAGGATCCCAAGATGGCATCACAGTCTTAATTCCTGTACTTAAACCTTTTTCATTATTAACTCTTCAGGCTTTAATGGCATATTCAAACGCATGAGGATCTTACGGTTTGTAGAGCTGCTTTAGCTGAAATGGATCCCAAAGCGCTTTACAAACTGCAGCTGATACAGAGGATATGCATAGAGCAGTTCAGCCACCTCTGGTCAGGAGGGAAGGGGCAGATATGCAATAGCACTAGATTATAGTTTAGGACAGGAAGTGAATGCTGTAGCAAACTGAAATTACAGGGGGAATTTTGCAAGGCAGACCGTGATTAACCAACCATACAGAGGTTAACACCCTAGTACTTGTGAAAAATGTCTTGGCTTCTGTGAAGCATTGTTGGACAGGACCTCGGGTTTATTAGCATCTCCAGCAGCACAGCACCCCCTAGCACCAAGTTTTGGCATTGGGAAATGGGGTATGGATAGGTTAGGAAGAACAGCACCCCCAGCAACAGCACCCCTTACCACTAGGTTAGGTCATAGGGTCCACACTAACAGAGGGAAGAGCTCCCCGGGCTGTGTCACCAGCATCCCTTCCTACAGCAAGAAATAATCTCCTTCCCTCATGAGCCCAATTCATCACTGGGTTAACTCCCTGGAGGGCCCCTGGGGGCTGTGTTTACTCTAGTTCCAGGGAGCATCAACAATGTAATTCAGCAAAGAAGTGGTAACACTGTTTGCACATGCAATGGGAGCGGCAGAACAGCGAGGACTGAGTGCTGCTCAGCAGGAAGCAGTTCCTCTCCGCTCACAAGCACCCTCTGCTCCTGCCAAAGCAAAGAGGATTCCCAGTCCCGTTACACACATGCCAAGAGCTCTCTGCCCGTCCCACCAGGCATGGCCACAGAGGCAGACGCTTTAAGTCGAATCACAGCACCTTATTTAGGCTGGCTGGAGCTCAGATTCGATCAAAGGAGGAGTAATACCAGCACCCCCCCGCCAAGGCCATGGATGGCGGATGGGCTTAGGCTGTGTTTTCTTAAGAATCGCTGCTGCACTCTCCAGGCTGTACAGGGAGGACACATGTCTGCTTCTGGGCAAACCACCCACCTTCCCAAGCAGTCCCTGTGCCGGCAGGCTCAGTGGAGCGGCCAAGGAGGGAATGAACCTTGGAAAAAATCCCTTCAGCCCCTAGAAGGGCTGCTTCAAGTCAAGCATTGACACACCGAAGTCTGTGCTGGACCTGCTCAGTGGAGAACTGCAGAGATCAGGGCTGCCAGGCTGGCACTTTTCCCCAGCACTGAATTCTGGATTCAGAAAAGATGCCTTCTCTGAGCCAGGTCTGCCAGAGAGAAGTTATTCTTTGATGTCCACAGCATCCTCCAACAGCGGGTCTCAGCTAATTCAACCACAACCTCCTCTGAGGTCTGGAAACAAAAGCATAGAGGAAAAAAATGCAACTTGTCCAAGGCCACAATGCAGGTCAGCAGCAGAGCCAGGTGGAGAAGCCAGAACTCCCATCTTCCAGTAATCCCTCTCCTCAGATGGCCCATCAGGAAAAAGTCATCTTAAGGTCTAGAGCTATCTAGGAAGTATGGATGCAGTTATGAGCTGTACCAACATTCTCTGACACCTTCTGTTCCAGAACATCCCGGGGGCTTTGCAACTTCGACTGACGTGCAAAGTAATCCTATAGGGATTACTTCATCCGCCACTGAAATGCAACCACTTCTGGGGCAGAACGTGGCTGCCAGTAAAAAGCCCAAGAAACATTACACAAGAACTGACAAAAGGAAATGAAGCACACAGTATCCAATGTATGTAGCAGGGGAAATGCACGGGGGAGCAGGATCAAATTGCACTGGGCTCAAGCCCCCCAGCCCTGTTAAAGGGCCATGAGAGGATCTTTAATGGTCCAGGAGGCCAGGATCTCAGTTTTACATCTTATATAATTATACAGAGACACCTTGAATAAATTCTTTTGTTTGTGCATGGATGGAGCAAATTGTATTTCATTTGCACCTCCCCTGTATCCTAATCCATCAGACCCTGCGCAGCTTCAAACCACCACCCTCTGGTAGCCAGAATGGGGTTAGCCCTGCTTATCACCAGAGAAGCTGACTCAGAGCCTTGCTCCTACCAGACTTTGATTTGGAGAACTGCCTTAGCTAACCGGCTCTGCATGGCCACACCTGAGCTGGGAAGGGCCCCAGATCCAGACAGGGGACAGGAAGGGGGAAGGAGGGAAAATCTGGGAGTTGGTTTAGCCCAGCTCACTCTGAGCCGGTCCCAGTTTGCCAGGAGCTGGACATCCAGTGGGCTAGCTGACTCCATGAACTCTCCCCCCTACCAGCCTCCATTCAGACCCCAAACTGGATTATTGACTGGCACATGTCATATGAAGCAGGGACGCTGAAGCCAGGAAAATCTGCCCACGTGGCATGAACAGGGAGACCCTTAGGTATAGTAGCCGCCCAGCTTGTCACTAACCTTTGGTTTGGCAGGACAGCAGCCCCCAGGTGCCGGTGCCCTCCCTGCAGCCAGTCGGATCAGGAACTCTTCAGCAAACCTAGAGCTCCGAAAAATGGCTGCGGTTTCTGCATCCACTTCCACAACGTCCCCTTCCTGGGAAACAGAGGAGACGTCACACACAGCCGAGAAGAACGCGGCAGGACCCAACACCCACAATGTCCCCTTCCTGGGAAACAGAGGAGACGTCACACACAGCCGAGAAGAACGCGGCAGGACCCAACACCCACAATGTCCCCTTCCTGGGAAACAGAGGAGACGTCACACACAGCCGAGAAGGACGCGGCAGGACCCAACACCCACCAGGCTTCCAGCTCTGTAGTGAGAGAGGGAGCAGGCTGGGGGCACGTGCATTTGCAATGCTGAAGGGAAACCATGAAAGCAGGAGTCCCCCCAGCGCAGCAGCTCTGCAAACAACCCCACCGACCGCCCACAGTCACTTTGGGATCTAATTCAGAATCACACTGCTTCTTTTCCCCAGGCCCTCCTTCGAATTGCCCCAATCAAAACCACAGGCCTGGCCTCTCTACTCCCCTCCCCATTCATCCTGTGCTGGCCTCCTCTCTGTCCCATCACACAAACTTGCCGCTAGTGGCGCAAGAGCCTTCTTCTCTGCAGCTCCCACCATCTGGAACAGCCGCCCTGTGTCTGGCCATCATCTCTCCATTCCCTCCCACTCTTCCCTTGCGTCAAGTGTTTTTACGATACAGGATGCTGCTTGATAAAGCTGCGTTGCTGAATTTTGGAACTACCTCCGCTCAGGGCCCCTTCTGTACAGGGCTGCTGAGCAGCAGGCTGTGCCATGCTGCAATCAGACAGTGCAGAAGGGGAAGTGTAAGCAAAGCCGTGAGCTCCGGACTTGGAGATCCAGCAAAGAGATGCAGTAATGCTGACACAGGCATGCCAATTACCTAGGCCTGGGGGGCTTCCCGGTACCTTGAATGTGAAATTGGCATCAAACTCCAGCTCTCTCTCATGCCCAGTGATCCCGCCGTTGTAAATAACCTGACACTGCTCGGCCGGGCCTTTCTTGGGTACTTTGAAGAGACGGAAAGTCGCAGAGACAAACCGACAGTCACCTGAAAGCAAAACACCAAGGGCATGGCTACACTTGCAGATGTAGAGCGCTTTGAGTTAAACCCACCTTCGTAGAGCGCTCCATACTCCAGCGGCAAGCCTCACGCATCAGTACCATTGTTCATTAAACTCCAGTCACTTAATTCTTACTGTTAGTGATGTGGGAGAGGGAAACCGGCCCATGTGACTCAGATCTCAGGCTGAGTTTGCAGGGCTAGGCAGCTAGAGAAGCCAGCAGTTCTGACCTGGAATCACTGACCCCGCCCAAACATGGCCCCTCATGATAGGTCCCACTTGTCAGAGAAAGGAAGCAAACTTTAAACAGAGGCCACATTCCATTCCACACCTGGCTGAGTTCCACTGAGGGCTGGAGTGATCCCTGCCTACCTCTCAGGGGTGCTGAGAGGCAGAATTTCTGCCTGTAAGGTGACCCAAGATCCTCGGAGAAAGGGTGCTGTGGAAGGGCAAACTGGTTGCTAGAGACAAACAGCACATTGCTCTGGCTCATCCTGTGCTTTCTCACAGCCATATTATGGGCTGGAGTATTTAGTCTTTTCTATTCTTGGGCTTTAAAAAAAAAAGCCCCAATTGCCTCTTTTCTACATTTGCATTTCCTGTCGCTCACAGATGGTCTAGCCTTGGGGCTATCAAACGAAGTCAAGGCTTGCTGGGGCTGCGGTCAATGGCGCACTCCCCACTCAAGCATTGTTCACTTGCTGCAGATGATGGCACATGTAGATTGCAAGCTCTGTTGGTCAGGGACCGCCTTTTTATGTTGTGTTTTTACAGAGCCAAACGCAGTGGTGGTCCTGGTCCATCAGCTGGGAATGTGCTTTCCAGCCCTGGTAGACGGACTCTTGCTAGCCGAGGCTACACCACTTTGCTTTCTCCTAGAGTAGAACCATGGAACCCTAGCCTGTACTGCTAGGGCGGACCAGGGGTCGATGCTCGGCCAATGGCACTCACTCACCAACGATGCTCTCCAGTTCCTTGTTATTGATGGTTATTCGGCTGGCGGTCACCAACCGCGGTGGGCAGAATCCAACTTCCTCAGCAATTCTGTAGAGGTCTTTCCACCACAGGGCTCCTCCCAGGCACTCGCCTATGATCACAGAGTAATTACATGTGTGGTGCAGCCAGCCACGTCAGGGCAAAATGAGTGGCGCACAGCCTGCCATCAGGTTTTTAATAGGGCTGTCGATTAATCGCAGTTAACTCATGCAATTAACTCAAAAAAATTAAGTGCCATTTTAATTGCACGTTAAACAAGAGAATACCAATGGAAATTTATTAAACATTTTGGATGTTTTTCTACATTTTTCACAAATATTGTATTCTGTGTTGTAACTGAAATCAAAGTATATATTATAAATATTTGCACTATAAAAATTATACAAAGAGAAATAGTATTTTTCAATTCACCTCATACAAGTACTGTAGAGCAATCTTTGTCCTGAAAGTGCAACTTACAAACGCAAAAATAATTTTTTTGCGCGTAAAAACTGCACTCAAAAACAAAACAATGTAAAACTTCAGAGTCTACAAGTCCACTCAGTCCAACTTCTTGTTCAGCCAATCGCTAAGACATACAAGTTTGTTTACATTTATAGGAGATAATATTGCCCTCTTCTTATTTACAATGCCACCAGAAAGTGAGAACAGGTGTTCACATGGCACTTTTGTAGCCGGCATTGCAAGGTATTTACATGCCAGATATGCTAAATTTTCATATGCCCCTTCATGCTTTGGCCACCTTTCCAGAAGACATGCTTCCATGTTGACGACGTTCATTAAAAAATAATGCATTAAATTTGTGACTGAACTCCTGGGGGGAGAATTATATGTCCCCTGCTCTGTTTTACCCACATTTTGCCATTTATTTCATGTTATATCATTCTCGGATGATGACCCAGCACATGTTGTTCGTTTTAAGAACACTTTCGCTGCAGATCTGACAAAACGCAAAGAAGGTACCATTATGAAATTTCTAAAGACAGCTATAGCACTCGACCCAAGGTTTAAGCATCTGAAGTGCCTTCCAAAATCTGAGAGGGACGAGGTGCGAAGCATGCTTTCAGAAGTCTTAAAAGAGCAACACTCCGATAAGGAAACTACAGAACCCAAACCACCAAAAAAGGAAATCAACCTTCTGCTGGTGGCATCTGACTCAGATGATGAAAATGAACATGCGTCAGTCCACACTGCTTTGGATTATTATCCAGAAGAACCCATCATCAGCATGGACACATGTCCCCTGGAATGGTGGTTGAAGCATGAAAGGACATGTGAATCTTTAGCGCATCTGGCACATAAATTTCTTGCAACGCCGGCTACAACAGTGCCATGAGAATGCCTGTTCTCACTTTCAGGTGACACTGTAAACAAGAAGCGGGCAGCATTATCTCCTGCAAACGTAAACAAACTTGTTTGTTTCAGCAATTGGCTGAACAAGAAGTAGGACTGAGTGGACTTGCAGGCTCTAAAGTTTTACATTGTTTTATTTTTGAATGCAGTTTTTTTGTACGTAATTCTACATTTGTAAGCTCAACTTTCACGATAAAGACATTGCACTTCAGTACTTGGATTAGGTGAATTGAAAAATACTACAATATTTATTTTGTTTTTTTACAGTGCAAATACTCGTAATCAAAAATGTAAAGTGAGCATTGTGCACTTTGTATTCTGTGTGTTAATTGAAATCAATATATTTGAAAATGTAGAAAACATCCAAAATATTTAAATAAATGGTATTCTATTATTTGACATCGTGCGACTAATAGTGATTAATTTTTTTAATTGCTTGACAGCCCTAGTTTTTAAGTGAGCCGCAGGGCATGATGGGACAGGGCATTCTGGGAGATTCTATCAGCTCTGGGTAGAGATCTCTCTTGGGAAAGTTAAAGGGTATCAGTTCAAGTTCCGAGGCACCTGGGACACAAGAGGCAGCATGTGAGGAGGGGATCCTTCTAACCAGGTTCCTAACTTCCAGCCTCCAGCTCACACCACTAGTCCTTATTACCTCAGGTCAGATAAGAAAATCACTCACCCCAGAGGACCCTGTGTTTCCTGATGTCCTCTGGCAGGTTATGGCTGGCATAGACATCGCTGAAATACATCTCCCCGCCAGCCTGGAAAAGACCAATGCTTAGCCACGGCAAGAGCTAAAAATGACACCAGCCCCTGATAGGGACAGCATTCACCAGAGACCACAGACAGGACAGCTCGGCTGGGGCCGCCCTTGCTGGCAACGTGATTGCTTATTCCAGAGCTATTGTGTCTGCCCCAGCATTCCTGGCCAGCGCACCCAGACAGCCCAATGAGTCAAGGTCTCCAAGATAATCAATTAAGAGCAACCACCCCTCTGCTCCACCACCTTTGGCTCTACCCAGATTAAATTCCACCATCACCCTCATTTTGTTTCATAAGCTGAGTGTGAACATGGTGCTCAGGGGCGGAGAGGCTGAGATCACAGGCACGTTGCAGACAGGTGCTGGGCAAGATTCCCTGACAGCTCTGCCAATACAGCCCAATCCTGCCCTGCAGCACCCCCTGCTGGCCCAGTCCTCAGGCACCCCCTTAACCTGTCCATCTGGGACTCATGGGCAAAGACTTCCAATTGTGATCTACTATTTGACGGTGGAGAGGATGTGGACAAAAGGAGAGCAAGGGAGCAAAGCAATCACTACACTGTGCCAGACCAATGGACATCTAGACCAGTATCCCATCTCTGACAGTGGCCGGTACCACTGCTTCAGAGGAAGGTGGAAAAATGGACAGTTACAGAACAACCTGCCTAGAAAGGAAGTCTCTCATAACCTGCTCATCTGTTAGCTGCTGACTTCTCCTTTCATCATTCATATAAACATCTAACCAATTCTTGGACTCTGCTAAGCTCTTGACTTCAGTGATATCTTGTGGCAATGAGTCCTGCAAGTTAACTGATCGTTATGCTAAAAAATATTCCAATCTTTAATGCGTTGTTTTTCTGTGTCATTAGTCGCCCTCCTGGTTTATAACAATGGGAGAACAGATGCCCATTGTTAGTTTGAGTACCTCTATTGCCTCCTCTGTTGTCATGCAGGGTGAAATCCTGCCCGCTTGAAAATAAAGGCAAAACTCCCACTGACTTCAACGAAGCCAGGATCTTCCTCTCCCATGAGCCCCAGAGCTCATCTCTCCTCATACGGAAGTCTCTCTGGGCCTGTGTTCCATTTTGCTGCCTGTCTGTGGACCCCTCTTGCCCCAAAAGGCAGGATGGGATGCAGTGTTGCTCCCCAAACCCCCTGGTGCTCTCTCTCACACACACAGAGCGTATGCCCCACTGTTGTGTTACCTTTAACACTCGATAGGCCTCCTGCAGAACTGCTCTCTTATCAGGCGAGAGGTTAATCACGCAGTTTGAGCTGGACAGGAGATAAAAGCTCAGTGAGGCACCAGAAGGAGGAAAGCATTGTGGGTTTTAATCAAATGTTTAGGCCTGACCTTGCAGCTGAGAAACACGGCAGCTTTTGATCTCTAACACTGGCAGGGAGTAACGGATGCCTGGACACCTTTCACATCCCCCAAAGGAGACTAGAGGGTCCTCAGCCATCCTTCAGCAAGCCTCAAGGAGTGTTTGCAGAGTCGAGGCTGGCTGATAGGATCTAAATTTAGTGATGGAGAAGACTCACTAGTCTACCCCCCCACCCACCCTGAACAGGCTAGGGCAGGAGTGTTGCCTGCAGATCAGTGTATTCCCTAGTACATCATACTATCTGTGTTTAAACCCACACCATCACTTCAAACCCTCACTCTCACTATTTGGGGCTGCACTCCTCATTTGAGACCCTGTATTTAAAGGGCCCTTTTCAGGTTAAGAACATCTCCTTAACTGTGGTAATATCAAGGGTGCCATTTCAGATTTTGGTGGGTGAGGGGCAACTTTAACTGTGATTGCAAGGGCTACTTAGGCACCTGAAAACCTCTAGGGTTGTTGTTTTTTTTTGCAGATAAGAATTTAGAAATTAGCTGAGAGGAGCACTGTATCTAATTCCTATATTAAAAAAAAGAGGATTTAATAAATATTAGACCCACTCAACTCTAATAACATGTTCTCACATCTTGTGTCAAGTTATTTAAGGAACACGGGTTAGGTTTAAAATTGTAATGTATATTCTTTGTTACTAACTCTTGAATACAAGAACTGAAACGACTGTAGAAAAATCTGGATGACTTTCTATCACTTTTTTGCAGTTCATCAAGCTAGGAATAGATCATTTAACTTTGGAAACATCCTACTAGGGCAAGGCCCCGTGAGTTTATACTGCACCTGCCTGCCTGGGGCTCTAGAAGTGTTACCGGGGTGAAAGTAACTTAAAGGACTTACTGGTATGCAGGGCGGCCAGGGTCCTGGACAAGGTGGGCCTTTTGGGCCTCCAGAAGGGGCATGGCCTCGGGCAGAAGGGGCGTGGCTAGGGCCAGACTTCCCCAGCCAGCCCTTCAGTGCTGCCCAGCCTGCGCTGCCTGGGGCTCCGGCAGCAATTTAAAGGGCCCGGGACACCGGTTGCTACCACACCAGCAGCTGGAGCTCCAGGCCCTTTTAAATCACTGCTGGAGCCCTGGAGTAGCGGCGGTGGCCAGGAGCCCCGGGCCCTTTTAAATTGCCAGGCCCTGGGGCAGCTGCCCCTTCCCTCCCTCCTCATCAGCGGCCCTGTCAGTACAGTGCTCTCTCCCAGTGCTCTGCCGCGACTACACAAGCCACGTCAAAGCGCTGCCGCTGTAGACTCAGCCCTAAGTTCTGCAGAGGAGAGGTGCCCCTGAGGCAGGGAATCAGTATTTTGTTTAAAACAGAGGCAGGGTGATTAAGATAAGAAAGGGCTAGTGATTAAATTAAGGATCTGGAAGTTTAGCCTGAAAAAGAGGGTGGCAGGGTTGTTCTAGAGAGAACACGGTGGGGGGGTCTCACAAAAAATACAGCAAAGCACTGAGCCTAGATAACATTCAGAAAAGGGGGAGATTTGGGGGCGTAGCTGAAAAGAAGGGGTCAAACCCAGAGCAGGGCTAGCAGTGTATAGAGAAGTTCCCACTCTCCCTATGGTACTTATGTGGCCCAATCACCATAGTATCTGAGGCTGTGCCTCACAATGTCTAACCTATTTCTCCTCCCAGCCCCTCGGTGAGGTAGAGCAATGCTATTATCCCCATTTTACAAAAGGGGCACTGAGGCACACACAGACTAAAGGCCAGATTTTCAAAGGTATTTAGACACCTACTGAGATTTTTCAAATGCACTTAGGTCGTTAGATGCTTTGTAAACCCCATTAGATGCCTAACTTCACCTTTGGGTGCCTAAAAACCTTTGAAATTCTGACCTTAGAGCACTGGCCTGGGGTCAGAGAGGAAGCCCATGGGGGTTGTAGAACCCAGGTCTTTCAGCTCCCTATCCAGCAGACCAGCCTCTCTCTCTGGTACATGCTGCAAAAACAGAGAGGACTCAGATAGATGGGAGCAGAACCAAGGTGGCCAGTTCTCTGAGACTCCAGCAAATGGTCCCAGGATGGATGCTATGGTTGACAGCATGAAAAGCAGCACAGAGATTAGGAAGGATGGAGAATGAGAGTCAGATGAGAGGAGACCACTTAACTCCCCATGGGTGGCAGGTTTTGCCTCATGCTGGGCTGTAAAGCAATGGCTACTGGGCAATTTTACATTTTAACTGAGAACCATTTTGTTCAGTCATTTTTTGTTCTGAGTTTGATAAAAGGAAGGAACGAGAAAGTGCTGTAGGAGTATCCGATGTGTTTATGCCTCAAATTCTTAGGGTTTCAGCTGTATTCAGGCCAATTCCAGAACAAAGAACAGAAACTGCATCCACAGAGTCCATAAAGTTGACGATTATTGTCATGATTTGCATTAAGAACATAAGAACGGCCATACTGGGTCAGACCAAAGGTCCATCAAGCCCAGCATCCTGTCCCCCGACAGAGGCCAACAGCAGGCACCCCAAAGGGAATGAACAGACAGGCCATCATCAAGTGATCCATGCCCTGTCACCCAATCCCAGCTTCTGGCAAACAGAGGCTAGGGACACCATTCCTTCCCATTCTGGCTAATAGCCATTGATGGACCTATCTTCCATGAATCTACCTAGCTCCCTTTTGAACCCCATTATAGTATTGGCCTTCACAACACCCTCTGGCAAGGAGTTCCAGAGGTTCACAGTGCGTTGCGTGAAAAAATACTTTCTTGTGTTTGTTTTAAACCTCCTACCTATTAATTTCATTTGGTGGCCCCTTGTTCTTGTATTATGAGAAGGAGTAAATAACACTTCCTTATTTACTCTCTCTATACCACTCATGATTTTATAGACCTCTATCATATCCCCCCTTAGTCACCTCTTTTCCAAGTCCCAGTTTTACTAATCTCTCCTCAAACAGAAGCCCTTCCATACCCCTAATCATTTTTGTTGTCCTTTTCTGAACCTTTTCCAATTCCAATATATCTGTTTTGAGATAGGGCGACCACATCTGTAGGCAGTAGTCAAGATGTGGGTGTATCATGGATTTATATAGAGGCAATATGATATTTTCTGTCTTATCATCTGTCCCTTTCTTGATGATCCCCAACATTCTGTTCGCTGGGCACCATCTGTGTGCTCAGCACTGTTCAGAATATGCCAGAAAATCCAGTCCCTGAGTCAATGCATAGAAGATGTGTAACTCTGATATTTAAGTATGAAGTGTATAGTTATTGACCACAGTATGATGTTTATATCTATGAGCGGAGGCACTGAAGGCAATAGACGTTTTAGTTGATTAAGGACTAGAAGATTTGACTCTCCAACTTTCTTTCTAAAGGAAGAGCTGCCCAGAGCTCCTGTGCCAGTTTATTTTCCTTTCCTGCCTGCAGTGGCCCCGATATACCTCAGAAGTCTACGTTTTTCTCAACTTTAAAATACAGAACTTTCTTGGTGTTTGGTTCAAAATATTTTCCTGTGAAAATTGCAACTCAATCACTGTAGTGTTGTATTTAAGAGCCTTCCGGAAAGTAACTAGCCTTTAAACAGAAGTAAAAGCAGTGTTGTCAACTCTCATGATTTCATCATGAATCTCATGATAATGGTTTTCCTTAAAGCCCCAGCTCCTGGAGTCAAGTGGATATGTGATGATTTCAGCCTTTATTCTTAAAGAAACATTAAGTTTCCAGTCCTCGTGGCTGTGGAGAAAGCTTCAAAATGTGACCCCAGTGCACCCTAAAGGCCCAGAAAGCAGAAGGCAAATAAAAAGAACCCCAAATCTGTTATTTTTACATAATCATGATTCTTGGTGAGCCTGGCTCAGGATTTTTGAACATTTGGGACTAGCAATACTGTGAGAGTGACCTGAAAGTGTCAGTTTCACTCCTGTTTAAGATTAGTTTCCAGTCTAGCATTTGTAGTGAGGTAACACCCATGGGTGAAAGTAAGCCGGTACGATGCACAGGTAAGAAAGTAGCGGCTGGTACACAGCTGATGTTAAAACACTGCCATGGCAGCACTTTAATGTGGCTCGTGTAGTCGCGGCAGAGCTCTCCCAGCGCTCTAAAAAAAAAAAAAAAAAAAAAAAAAAAAACCCACCTCCATGAGGGGCGCAGCTCCCAGTGCTGGGGCACTGTCTACACTGGTGCTTTACAGCACTGAAACTTGCTGCGCTCTGGGGGGTGTTTTTTCACACCCCTGAGCAAGAAAGTTGCAGCACTGTAAAGCGCCAGTGTAGACAAGCCCTTACATTTCACACTAATGCTGTGCTATAGTTAAGAACTCCATCTGGGAGCTTGCACACCTCTTGAATGAAAAATGGGGGAGGCTCCCATCCTCCCCTGCCCCCCCAACTGGAACCCTTGCATAATACCATCACCTGAAATTACTAAAACTGAAGAATCAGACCATTTTTCACCCTTTTGGCCAGCCCTTTATTTACTGCATCCCATGGACAGCTAAATCAGTCTGGCCAATTTAACACGTGCATCTAGTCAGTTTTACTTTCTGATCCTCATGTACTAACCTAATGCTGTAGTGTCCTTGCAGCAAACACTGCAGTGGGCTGTTCAAATGATAACAAAAAACTGTTTCAATTGAGCATCTTAAAAAGGTAAATCAAATGTAGGGACATTTCTAGTCATCTTACATTCTATTAAACTTTGGGCCAGATGTTAACTTGGCATTTTCCCTTCAACAATTAGAGCTAAAACCAATCATTCTGTTGGACAAGGGTCAAGGACATTCGATTAGAGGCATCAATAAATGGAACAAGTCTGATCTGCCTCCTATTCCCAGCCCTATCCTGGGCTCTGAGACGCCACACGGTTTGAAACTATGTTTCACCTTTTAGTTTGACTGGATCCAGCCACCTGTCCTTTCTGTGGGCACTGTTTGTTTGACAACACAAAACTCCAGCCAGGTATCCAGGCCTCAGATTAGTGTTTACAGTGTATTTTTTCAGTGTACAACCCTGAACTGAAACCCAAAGAGTTAAAACCTTGGGCAGGGACATGGTTCACTGATGCGTGGGAAACAAGTACCCAACCCATTGTATAGACCCCTGCAGGAGCTCTGAGAATGGTACTCACATAACTATATCATAACTCTCGTCTTTAAGGCCAGCATCTCCCAGCTTTTCCATGTAGCCACGGATGAAGTCCACGTTAGGCACCTGGTAGCCAAATTTCTTCATGTGATAGTCAATGTACTTCTTTGCCACTTCTACCTGGAAGAGGGAAACAAATAAGCAGGCTGTAAACTACATAAACTCTTTAAGATGTTTCTAAAGTCTCTTCCCCTTCATGTGGCAGAGGGCCCGCATATTCTCATTAGGGCCCTACGCATCTCCCTTTATTTCCCTCCAAACCCCAGCCATTTTGAGTCCTAGATCATGGCTACCAAATCTCCTGGCCAAAGAAGAACAGATGTGATTCCCTACAGAGACTAATAAATGGCAAGACCAAGTCTCGGACTGGCCAGGGATGGGGCGGGTGGGGAGTCTCTCTATTTGATCAACAAAGTGTGGGACTAGCAAAGACTTCTGATCAACATAAAGCCCAGCAAGGGGCTGTGCATGTTGTCTTCACCACAGCACTCTGGGAAGGTAGGGAAGAGGCCAGTACTCATGCCAGTGTCTCATGCCTGATGATGCAGGGTATTATCCCTGCATCTCCCTCCCCCCCACCCCACACAGGATAGCACATGCTGCGTGATGGTCTGGAAGGTGGAAGGAGTGAGACGATAAATGGCAAAATACATTTACCCCATTTCCACACTCAGGTCTCTAATAGGGCTAGGAGAAGCTGAGAGTAGGGAAAGTATGACTCTCAATGACTATCAGAGGCAGGATCTCAATGACCGAGCAGCTACAAAACAATCACTCAGTGTCTTGCACTACAGGTACTTAAACCTGACCCACACGTGCACTGTATTAAACCTTGTAGCTTGCATGAAGGTAAGATTATTAAAAGCCAATAGCTAAGGTTACTATCTGCATGCAGCTGAACCCCCTACATCGGACAGTCCCCATATACCAAAGGATCAACTTTGAACTCTAAGCACCATGCAGTTCCGCCTTGGTGAGACGAAGTTATTTTCACTTCCAAAGCTGAGAGCCATGAAGATACAGACCCGGACTTTGATTAGCACTATTCAATTCGAAAACATACCTGGGCGTCGGTCATGTCTATTCCAGTGACATGCCCTTTCTCCCCAACTAGTTTACTCAGCATATAGCAGTCCCTGCCACTCCCACTGCCCAGATCCAATATCCAACAGGTCTCCAGGCACTCTGGGACCACCAGGCCGCAGCCATAGTACCTGAGGGAAGAAACTCTCGAGATCAGTGATTCTTGAACCACGGAATCTCAACACACTTCAGTGGTGTGCAAGGGAAGGCTTTTTAGATGGGGTGGATGAAAATGTGTCATGAAGAGCAAACCATCAGGAACAGCCAACCCACATATGCAGATATGGATTAATTAAGCCTCACTGCTTATCTCCATTTTATATTGGGCAAACTGAGACACTGAGATGTGTGATCTGCCCAAAGGCTCTCAGCGAACAAAGAAAACGACAGGCCAAGGAAAGCATTTTCTGGTCGAACATCCTGTAGCCTGACCTTGGAGGTTAGAGCAAAGGTTTTTACCAGAACATCTAATGGATTTCTGATAGGGGATATATGACCTGTAAGGAGAGTGACATTTTTATGTCTATTAGCTTATCTTTTCATCTCCAGATTTGAATAGACAGGGTTTATGGGGAGCTTTTTAACTTTAATGTTCTTTGTGTTAATTTTTCCTAACATTTGCTGCTCATTGTAACTTTAAATTAATGACTTTGTGTCTAGAAATGGTTACTAAGGTTGATTGGAATTCATTGATTCATTTTAAAGCTCTAAACTACATTAATTTATTTCTCTCTCATTAATTTGTTCTCTGCATTAATTTGTTCCTCTCTGCCTCTGCTTTTGGTAGGAATTTCTCCTTTGAGCTGGCAACCTCCAGGCCCCAAGGACTGTGGAGGTGGTAGGCTGCCTCCAACCAGGAAGTTATGAGAGACATACAAAGATAAACTGGCTACTTTCTTCCCCACTGTATTCTCTGGATAGAGTGACACCACTGGGCCAAAGACTGTTTCAGTGAAGCACATTGAGTGAGTGAAGCTCTATTAAAGAGTCAATTGTCAATTCTTTACCTTGACACTACATCATCATGGACAGACTTCAGAGCCTCCTTTATGAACATGGGCAAAGACCTAGCCAAGGTGACGCAGGCATTGGTTTGCAGATCCTCTGATTTCTGCAACTTTTTACCATAATAATCCTGAGATGGGAACACAAAAAGTCCATATATCTCCATAGCACGCCAGAGCCTACAGATTCTAGTTACCGCCCTGCCCCCACCCTAGGGTTACTCTTGCTCCTCTTTGCAGGGAGGATGGTCATGCGAGACAGTATCAAAAGCCTTACTAAAGTCAAAATATACCACATCTACTGCTTCCTCCCTATCTACGAGGCTTGTTACCTTGTCAAAGAAAGCTGTTAGGTTGGTTCGACATGATTTGTTCTTGACAAATCCAAGCTGACTGTTACTTCTCCCTTTATCTTCTACCTGTTTACAAACTGATTACCTGATTATTTGTTCCATTATCTTTCTGAGTACTGAAGCGAAGCTGACTGATCTGTAATTTTCCAGGTTGTCCTCATTCCCTTCATCCTTTTTTTTTTAAAATAGATGGGTACTATATTTGCCCTCTTCCAGTCCTCTGGAATCTCTCCTGTCTTCCGTGAGTTTTCGAAGACAGTCACTAACAGCCAGTTAGCTCCTTGAGTATTCCAGGATGTATTTCATCAGGGAGGGAGCACTTAGATTGCTGCTATAACCAGGGCTCAGGTCATGGGCTGGAGGCATAAGAGGCTTGCGGAGGCTGAGTGCCCCCAAACAGGGCAAGAAATGCTGTATGCAGCGCACCTCCCTTTGGAGGTGTGCTGGCCCCGCTGCCTTTGGAGTGCCACCACTGGAAGTTCCCAAGAAGTGGGGGAGCCACCGGCACCCGGACTATGGCCCTGCCGCACTCCGCCCACGCTCGGCCTCCTCCCCCCGATGCCCCACCCTCACTCAGCCTCTTCCCCCCGAGGCCTCCCCCCACCTGCAACTTGTGCCTCGCCGGGGAAGGGGGTGGACAGGCCCGAGCAGCAGGCCAGGTGGGCCTTGGTGAAGGAGAGGAGCAAACGGTTGTAGGAAGAGGTGGAGTGGGGTGTGGCCTGGGGGGGGAAAGAGGCCAAGCGGGAGCAGAGCAAAAGGCGGGGCCACGGTCCAAGCACTCACTCCCATTTCTAGGGAGCTTCCTGCATTTGCACCCAGCTTCCCCAAAGGCAAGAGTAACGCGCGGCCTCTGGCTCAGGAGTAACGTATGGAGGAGAGAAGGGCAGCTGGAGTCAATGGGGCAAGCTCCAGTGCAGGATAGGCCCTAGCAGTGCCCTCTCCTCCACCCGAGCTCTTACCTGTACCTCTCTGTAAATCTGCTCTGCAGATGGGGCAGCCACTGCAATGAGAACCACCAGAAGCCTGGGTCAGGCAACCTGATGCAACAGTGATAGGCGCCAGCGTCGAGCCCACATAGAGAGTGGCACCAAGCACCCCTCACCGCGCAGGGCAATGCAGCGCTGGGGGGTTCCCCCACAACACCTCCTGGGGGGCAAACCCCTATCCCTAGAGAGACCCGCAAGACAACCCCACCCCCACCCCGAAACCCTCCCTCCCCACCCTGCCCTGCTGGGACCCCCTCCCACCAGAGAACCTATCCCTAGAGAGACCCGCAAGACAACCCCTCCCCCACCCCGAAACCCTCCCTCCCCACCCTGCCCTGCTGGGACCCCCTCCCACCGAAGCCTACTCCTCCCCCACCCAGAGACCCTTCCCCCCCACCCCACCCTGCTGGGACCCTTCCCACCAGAGCCTCCCCCTCCCCCACCAGGAGACCCACGCTCCCTACTGGGACCCGCTCCCACCAGAGAGCCTACCCTCCCTCCCCACCCCACCCTGCTGGGACCCCCTCCCACCAGAAAGCCTACCCCTCCCTCCCCACCCTACCCGGACCCCTTCCCACCAGAGAGCCTACCCTCCCTCCCCACCCCACCCTACCCTACCCTGCTGGGACCCCCTCCCACCGGAAAGTCTACCCCTCCCTCCCCACCCCACCCCACCCTGCTGGGACACCCCACCAGAAAGCCTCCCCCTCCCCGCCCTGCTGGGACCCCCTCCCACCAGAGCCTCCCCGTCCCCCACCAGGAGACCCACCCCACCCTGCTGGGACCCCTCCCACCAGAAAGCCTACCCCTCCCTCCCCACCCCACCCCACCCCACCGGGACCCCCTCCCACCAGAAAGCCTACCCCTCCCTCCCCACCCCACCCCACCCGGACCCCTTCCCACCAGAGAGCCTACCCCCCCACCCCACCCCACCCCACCCTGCTGGGACCCCCTCCCACCGGAAAGTCTACCTCTCCCTCCCCACCCCACCCTACCCTGCTGGGACACCCCACCAGAAAGCCTCCCCCTCCCCGCCCTGCTGGGACCCCCTCCCACCAGAAGCCTACCCCTCCCTCCCTCCCCTCCCCACCCCACCCTGCTGGGACCCCCTCCCACCAGAAAGCCTACCCCTCCCCACCCCACCCCACCCTACCCTGCTGGGACACCCCCCCCACCAGAAAGCCTCCCCCTCCCCGCCCTGCTGGGACCCCCCCCCCCCCCGCGGGCGAAATGCCCCCAGGCGACCCGCAGAGGCCCCGGCCCCAGAGCGCGGCGGCGGCGCGTACTGCTCGCGGCCGGACCGTCGGGCCGCGGACTCTGCCCCGGCACCGTCAGCAGCCTGGCCCCGCGCTCGGGCCAGGGCCGGGCTACGAGGGAGGCGGGACTTCCGCTTCCGAAGGGGGCGGAGCTAGGGAGCCGCGCCCCCTCCCGCCCATCTCCCTGCCGGCAGCAGCCGGGCCCCGCCCCCTTTGTCGCCCCGCCCCCTTCCCAGCCCCGCCCCCTTTGTCGCCCCACCCCCTTTGTCCCCCATTGCCCCCAGGTTTGCCCAGCCCCACGTGCTGGGCTGTCGGGCTCCGTGAGCGCCGTGCCAAGGCTGCCAGGTGGTGACGTGGTTCCTTCTGCTTCCCCCCCGGAACGCCTGGCAGACCCGGCCCCGCTCCAGCTGCCGCCATCCGGGCTCAGCCCCCCAGGCAAGGGGCCCATTCAGCACCCCCCTCCCATGCCCCCCGCCCCCGGCTGCAGTGCGGGTCGGTGGAGAATTGGGACCATGGGACATCAGGCCCTAGTCACCTCCAGACACCCAAGGGCAGGATTCAGCGGGAAGGGCCGGCCCAGCGACCCTATTCTTCACACCCCAGAACACACTGTGGAGATCCCAGCCCGGGGTGCTGGTTTTCTGGGCCAGCTGGAAGTGTTGCATAGGAAGCACATTCACCCCAGGCAATGAAGCGGCGTGTGGGGCTTTGCACGGATGCCGGTTTTGTTCAATATCTTCATTAATGATCTGGAGGATGGTGTGGATTGCACCCTCAGCAAGTTTGCAGATGACACTAAACTGGGAGGAGAGGTAGATACGCTGGAGGGTAGGGATAGGATACAGAGGGCCCTAGACAAATTAGAGGATTGGGACAAAAGAAATCTGATGAGGCTCAACAAGGACAAGTGCAGAGTCCTGCACTTAGGACGGAAGAATCCCATGCACCGCTACAGACTAGGGACCGAATGGCTAGGCAGCAGTTCTGCAGAAAAGGACCTAGGGGTGACAGTGGACGAGAAGCTGGATATGACGAGAAGCTGGCATTGCCAGCAGATCGAGGGACGTGATCGTTCCCCTCTATTTGACATTGGTGAGGCCTCATCTGGAGTACTGTGTCCAGTTTTGGGCCCCACGCTAAAAGAAGGATGTGGAAAAATTGGAAAACTTCCAGCGGAGGGCAACAAAAATGATTAGGGGACTGGAACACATGACTTATGGGGAGAGGCTGAGGGAACTGGGATTATTTAGTCTGCGGAAGAGAAGAATGAGGGGGGTTTTGATAGCTGCTTTCAACTACCTGAAAGGGGGTTCCAAAGAGGATGGATTTAGACTGTTCTTAGTGGTAGCAGATGACAGAACAAGGAGTAATGGTCTCAAGTTGCAGTGGGGGAGGTTTAGGTTGGATATTAAGAAAAACTTTTTCACTAGGAGGGTGGTGAAGCACTGGAATGCGTTACCTAAGGAGGTGGTGGAATCTCCTTCCTTTGAAGTTTTTAAGGTCAGGCTTGACAAAGCCCTGGCTGGGATGATTTAGTTGGGGTTGGTCCTGCTTTGAGCAGGGGGTTGGACTAGATGACCTCCTGAGGTCCCTTCCAACCCTGATATTCTATGATTCTATGATGCTATGGCTGATTTAGGAACATTGGTGATGGTGTCTGCAGGCAATCCAGTCCTCCACATCTACTGGAAAGGTGGTGGTGGTGATGTAGCACCTTGGGGCCAACAGGCATGTTGTGACATTTTGGGGCTCACCCAGACACGTAAAGCACACGTAAAGCTGTCAACACCTGCCCTATAACCTTGGGGTACCTTAATGCAGCTATGACTCAGATCCCAGTAGCCAGCCCACAAGCACAAGGTCTCACCCCGACGTCCAGCAGCCTAGTTACTCCTTGTAAGGTAACACCAACAGCCCTTAATCCCATGTCTCCCCAAATCTGATCTTCCAGGTTCTTAACTGACAGACCCTCAGACTTTTCCCCTCCAGTTCATCATCCCTGAAGGTGTGAAACCAGCCCCCAGATACCAGTTTACTTTGGTACACCCGCCCCAACAGTTTGTACAACAGAGACCTGCTTGGGGGTAAAAATAAACAAAAAGTTAATTTAATAGACTAACCACAGACTCAATGACGAAATAGTAAGGGAAGCAAACATGTACAAGTTCCACAGCAAATAAACATGCAGAGGAAACTTTAGACTTTACGCTTCCATTGTAGATAAAATCCTTTTTCTCATACAAGCTACCTATTGCCTTTGAAGGATCCCAGCATACCTCCTAACTATATAGAGGATCCAGCATTTCACAGAGAGTATCCCGCCTACAGCCTGTCCCTGTTTCTGGAAGACTTCAGTTTCAAGTCTCCCTTTCCCTTCCCCCACTTTTTTGTCTCTCCTGGCACCGTGACTCATGGTTAAGGCTATGTTTTAGTCAGGGGTATTTTTAGTAAAAGTCATGGACAGGTCACAGGCAGTAAACAAAAATTCACGGCCCGTGACCTGCCCATGACTTATACTATATACCCCTGATTAAAACTTGGGCCAAGGGGCAGCGGGTGCTCTTTTGGGGTGGACAAAGGGCGCTGTGGGTGCGGGGGGGGGAAGCAGGTGGCGGCACACAGCCCGGGACCCCTGCTGATGCTGGGCCGGGCAGCAGCACACGGCCTGGGACTCCCACTGGACCGCTGCTGGGGGGAGGGCTGGCAGGCTCTCCACGCAGCTCCCCAGAAGCAGCCGGCATGTCCCTGCAGCTCCTAGGGGCAGCAAAGGCATGGGGGGCTCTGCACGCTGCCCCTGACACAAGCGCCGCCTCCAAAGCTCCCATTGGCTGGGAACTGCAGCCAATGGGAGCTGCGGGGTGGTACCTGCAGGCAGGAGCAGCACACAGAGCCCCCTGGACCCTCCGCCTAGGAGCTGCAGGGACATGACAGCCGCTCCTGGGGAGCCCCCCCCCCACGCCCCAGAGGTAAGCATCACCCTGTACCCCATCCCCCTGCCACAGCCCATAGCACCTTCCCACACCCAAACTGCTGCTGGCCCAGGGCTGACCAAGCTGTTCGGGCAGCTCTGGAGCCAGCCACACTGGCCACTGCAGAAGTCACAGAGGTCCCATGACACATGCAGCCTTACTCATGGTTATTTAGAATGGAAGAAACTCTAGCCAGGATGTCTCAATGTCTTTCCATTAACTTTAATGATCCACCATTTCCTGGGCTAGACAACAGATGGGTACCCGAAGCTGGGCCAAGTCTACACTAACACTTATGTTGGCAAAACTTTTGTCCCTCAGGGCTGTGAAAAACACATACCCAAGTGACATAAGGTTTGTCAGCATAAGAGCTCACGTGCACAGCACTATGTCAGCAGGACACTCTCCCACTGACAGAGCTACCGTTTCTCATTGAGCTGGTTTTATTAGGTTGATGGGAGAGCTCTCCCCCATCGGCATAACGCAGCTACATGAGTACTCTTACAGCGGCATGGCCTGAGCTTTGTGTAAACTGGCTTGGGAGATGCCCCTCCCAGCCTTACTGCTCTGCTGTGAAGTGGAGCAGAAGTTTACAAGCAGAGTTTTCTATATCCACAGATATATAAATGAATAACCAATCTGTATAAATATCTCATAATGACCAACAAGTTCAGAGAATTACCCGCTTTCATAAACGACCTTCCCTGATACACTTCTATAGTACAATGTGCAATCAGTTGGTTCAACAGTTCATGTCTGGGGTTTAAACCTTCTGTTCTCCCATGGGGTGTCTGGATCCTGACTGTCACACATGTACCAGGAAAAGATGGAATGGTTCAGCCCTTCTCACCCAACAAAGCAATGCTGCAGATGTTCATCTTGAGATGACAGACCGGCAGGATGACATGGGGAGAAACACTGCAAAGGGAAACTGGTGAAAGAAAATCCTTGACCTCCACATTCAATAACTAGCCTGCCTAGGGTCTGGAATTTCAAGGCAGCAGCTGTTGCAGTTTGAGTAAGAGTCAAGATAATTTTTGTTTTTACAAAGCAGGTGTCAGCACTTACAGGGACTTGGAGCTATATTCTGCTCTCAGAGCTGCATGCACAGCTCCCAGTTAGGCTACTGGAGTTAACTGGTGTGTCTAAGGGCTGAATGAGCTGTGGTGTGTCAGAGGCCCAAAGAAAGATTATTCTGCTCTCAGTAGTTGCTAGGTAAGCATCCTGCTCAGGATCACTGATTAGCCAATGAGTTTGTTCTCGCGATGGTTTCCATTGGTCAAGTGCGCGCCATTCAATATCATGCAAGGGACAGCTGGATGCAGGTGCTGCTCTGGAACAAATGCAGAATATGCCTCTTTATGCAACTGAATTTAGTGTTGCATAAAAACAGCGATTTTTAAATTCCTCTCTGGGCTTTTCTTAACAATTAACCTAACACACCATGTGCAGAAGGAGCAAGCATAACATAAGATACAGCACTAACCGTCAACCTATTCAGGTCATTGGATCTGCCAGTATCCTCTGGACTAGTTCTCCTCAGCAGCTAGCTATAGCACTGTATCATAATGACACTCTCACTATAGGCTTTATATTAAAAAAAGAGATTAAAAATATCTAAATAGGAATGCAAATCTTCTCAGAATTAAAAAATAATCAATCAAAACAGCATGTGTGTTTTTTAAACCTTCCTCTGCCATGTAGAAAGCCCAACCTAACTGCACTGCACTGCACAAGAGACTCACAAGTGAAACTGACTTCTGAAACAGACCCAAAGGAAAGCTCTGCATACATAGATGCTGGAACTAGGGGTGCTGCAGTACCCCCTGGCTTGAAGTGGTTTCCATAATAGACAGGGATTACAGTCTGGTTCAATGGATCTCAGCTCCCCCACTCTACAAATTGTTCCAGCACCCCATCTGCATAGCTCGACAGCTTGTCTCTTTCACCCATAGAAATAGGTCTTCTCTCTCCCCATAGAATCATCATCATATAGAAATATTTCATCTCATCTCACTGATCAAGCTCCATGGAATTTCTAAAAAGTGATGAAAAGCACAGTCAGTGAATAAAGTGCTTCTCCTATGACTAAGTGGAGAGGCTATTAGTAACATGGAAAAGCAATTTACAAAAAAACCAGCAACCACAGACAACATATTTGTCTTGGACCCAAATTAAAGTCAATGGGAGCTTTGCCATT